CACACACACACACACACACACACACACACACACACACACACACACACTGAAACGTAGTGCTCAGAGGAAGAGGAGTAATGTCATGCGTTGTGAAAGCTTGTTGTGTTCTCAAACATCTAGGTCACCCAGCTGTATCTCTTCCTCCTTCTCTCTACTTATCTTTATCTCCAATTTTGCTTCCTCTCCCAATCTTTTCCCTTTCTGTTTAATTCAGTCTCATCTTCTCCTTCATCTCACTTTTCTCCTCCTTTCTAACCTCTCTCTCTCTCTTTCTCTCTGTCTTCTTCTTCTCTCTCTCTCTCCTCTGACCCAGTGGCCCGTTAGCTCAGGTTACAAGGTTCATTTATTGACATTGTACAAAAACAGGGTTGTGGACCCAAATGCAGTTTGTAGTCCCATATGCTGCAAAAAATAGGCAAAACTGTATTATATAGTGGAGGGTGGAAGATGAGTTAGCTTAGCATCAAGGCTGGAAATGGAGAGAAATAACTAGCCTGGCAAAATGTCCAAAGGTAACAAGATCACCCTCTACTACCAGCACCTCTGTTTTATATATTTACCGCAACATTTAGTTTCACAGACGGGGTATTTTTCAAAGTGTCGAATTATTGCTTGAAAGAATTCTACATCTCATATCTGCGTGACATATTTCAGAACCTAAAATATAAACTTAAAATTCAATACTGCTAAAAGATATGGAGGTAAGCTATAAACTATTACAGCAAGTTATCTATTTATTTAATAATTCATTTGTTGGAGCATTAAATCATTACAATCCTTAATACAGCACTTACAATGTATGTTATATAACTGTGTGTGTGTGGGTGTGAGTGTGTGTGTAGCCAGCTGGTCTAGTGCCACCTAAGCCCTCCTGTTGGTGTGTTCCTTCCTGTTCCCTGTACGTAACCTGCTGATCAGCCGGCTGTTTCTCTACTATAAACCTTCATTAGGTGTCAGGAGCGTTATCCTTCTGAAACTGTCAAAGTAAGAGCTGACGATGTAAGAGAATGAAGCATAGGAATAAATATGTAATTCATAGAATAAGAAGAGAAAGTGTTTTGAGTATGTTGGAAAAAGTAAACAGAAGCAGCTCACTCTTTTGTTGGAACTGAAGCTGTCGTTAACGCGCCAAGTCCCTCAAACACACAGCAGTGTGTTGGCATCCACGCTGCAATCACCAGCTCAAGTCCTTCTGTCGTCACACACACACACACTCCAACAACAACACCCCAGAAACACGCTCACACATCATTCTATATCTGTTCTGTTCTTATGTAGTTCTTGTTTTTGTATTCGCATACTTGTTTTATAATTGAACAAGACAGAAAATGTGATTATTTATTATAGGCTGTATGCACATTATGCCACACAAAGGTGCAACTGGTCATATTGCAGAGTTATAACCATGCTCGTGCTTCTTTCTCCTGCAGTAACCGACATTGTTTGTGTTTATTTTGGGAGTAATTCTAATCAAACTTACTCCTGTTTGTCTTCAGTCTGGTTTCTATTCTGTGATGATGCTCAGTTGTCCTTATTCTCTACAGTTTGTGATGCTGGAGGAGTCATAATCCTCTAAAAATACATCCTGACCTTTTAAACCGTAACCGATTTCTCCACTTCTCTGACAGCAGGGAGGCAAAATCCCAGCCCATACTTAATGTAGAACTATCTTTTAATTACATATGAATCACCATAGGAGCCATGACTTTTTAATGTCATGTTTTATTTAATTGTGACTGACAGTTAATACTAGAATACGCTGTCTACTCGTTGAGCCGGTGCTACAGCATGTTAGAGCTACAGCGCCCTCCTGTGGCTCCTTACCCACCATTACATTATTAAACAGGCTGACTTAACATGATTAAATCTTATTAAAGTAGGAATCTGAATCTGTAATGTCGCCTTTTTCCATCTGCCTCACTTTAAACCAGTGAGGAGATGTGTAAAATTGCTCATGTGAAATGACCAAAAAAGGTTTGTAGTGTTACGCAACAATGGTGCTGCACCTTGTCATTCGTAAATATCTCCCCCATTAACCCCGTCTCCACCCTTACCCCCCTTACATGTACAGGAAGAACTCCCCCTACAGGACACTGGAGCCGGTGCGCCCCCCAGTGGTGCCCAACGATTATGTCTCCAGTCCCACCAGAAACAATATGGCCGTCGGACAGCTTCCTAGTCCGGCCCGCACTGCCACCCTCAACCATCGACCCCGAACATACAGGTAGCCGGGTCGGCGGGTAAACATGGCTGCCAGAATGGGATTTCAGAGCTTTCCCTTCTACTCTAATGCTTTTTTCTATTTTCCACTCTGATGTTGTTTTTGCCTCTTTTGTTCATTTAAAAAAGGCAGATATTTAACACAACTGTATGTCTAGTTTGGGATCACTGATTGTATTTTTGCCGTTCTTCAATGCAATATGAGGTCTTGCTGAAGTTGCACAAACATGCTTTGTTCCAATCTAGACTGACAGATGTGTTGAAGATAATGAAACTACACATCCTCTCAGCGTGCTTTGGTTAATGCTTTTGTTCTTGGCTGATCTCATCACATTTAGCCAGCTAACTGAACATGAGCAACTATTTTGGATTTGTTGGAGGCTCATTTATGTCACAATGCCCAAGAAAAAAGGTCCCCAGACTAACGCTCAGGACTGGTAACTTCAACCACAAGCAGGAGAGATGGGTTGATAAATGGTAATACTGTGTACTGTAATCCTATTAAAGGAAAGTTTTTTGTGCATTTAACTATGAAGCATAAAGACTAAAGAAACAAGATCTAACATGGTATTGTGTGAGCTTTAGTGGTGCTAGTAGGCAGATTTTTTGACGGAGCTAGGCTTTATGCTAAGCTAAGCTAACCAGATGCTATCTGTCGCTTCATATTCAGCGTACAGACATAACAGTAGTAACAATAATAAGATTTGAACCTGTGCTCTCAAGCATCTCTGTGCAATGTTGATGAGTTTTGGACAAGACAGAACATTTTAAAGTGACATTGTAGAATAATAATAATCCGAGCGATTTGCGTTTTTCTCAAATCTTTTCTGACTAGTTCTCTACTTTCTTCTGACTTCATTGCTAAACTTCATCACTAAATCTGCTTCTGTCCCGTGTTTCCTCTGGTTTTATTCAGCAGTGATGCTCAGCGAGTTACTTTAGTTTTGGTTGGTTTGAAATGCAGCATTGTGCTTTGCTAAAATATTTGACATGGTTACTGCAGTGAACACTGACTAGTTGATCATTAACGATCAAAAACATCTTTAACTTTCTTCCTACTTTGCTTAGAACAGACAGAGAAACACTCACAAATAGATGGTACAGATGGTACAATTTACTGACAAACACCATTTCCTATTGAGCATCTCCTCCAGCTCCGTATTGAGAAGAAGTTTGTGAATCCAGAGCAGAAATTTGAAACCTTCGAACTGTTTAGCGCTTAAATAAAAACGTACAAATGTATTAAAGCCTCCAGCAGTGACAGTCACTGTGTTGCAGCATCACTGCTGAGTAAACACAGAGGAGTAACGTTCTGCTTTCATCTTCACAGCATCAACTAACTGACTTTCTTCTCATTCAAAGATTCATTTTCAGTTTTATTTTCTGCACTTTATGTAACTGTGGGCTTGTTGGTGCTCTGGATGGAAAAAGAATCTTTTCCATCCAATCTCCACCTTTTGTCTGTCCTGATCTGGAGCCTCCAGCCAATCAGAGTATGTGTTTGTAGCTTATCGTTGTTTCATTGCTTCTGTGCCGACATTAACTTGACTCACTGCTGCTGTTCCTGCAGCCATCGCTCTGCTTTTATCCTTTTTTTTTTCTCTACAGGCAGCTGACTTCCTTTCTGTCTGTTCCGTCTTTTATTATTGTCTTCATCAGTTTGTCTTTCTGCTTCTAACATCCTCTTTTCTCCTTTCTTAAGCTTCATTATCTGCTTCACGTCCTTTTTAAAATGACTCAAATTCAACGTCAAAATCGAATTGGTTATTGTTCAGTGACATTCACGTTGCTGCTAAATCTCAATCGAGAGGTAAAGTCCCTCCCCTTCCTGGTGTCCCCGCATGGGACCTTATTTCAGGGAAAATATGTTTGATAGACAAAAGCCAGAGACGAATGTATTTTTAATTCTGTTTGTGCCATGAATCACAGTGGGAGCAGTGGGGGCAGCCATCCCAGCAGCAGCAGTCGGAGCAGCAGCAGGGAGAACAGTGGCAGCGGCAGCGTGGGCATTCCCATCGCTGTGCCGACACCTTCCCCGCCCTCCACCTTCCCAGGTAACACACACACACACACTGGACACAGACACATCCACACTCAACAGTATTTTTATTGAACCACATGAACAGCTTATGTTGTGGACCTGATGTTTGAATGTCTTCTTGTAGCAATTGCTGCTTGAGATATTTCCAGCTGTGTTTCTCACTCCCTTCCTGCTTATCTCCTCCCTCTTTTCCTTCCTTCCTCCCTTCGTCTCTGAAGTTTCCCCGACTACTGGACCTGCTAGCTCTTCCTCCACTGCTCCTAACTCCTCTCCCTCCCCCTCCCCAACTCCTTCCTCCTTCTCGTCTTCTTCCTCCACCGCAACCTTAACACAACCCAACGCACCCTTATTACAAAACTCATCTTCGCAACACACCGACTCACCTCCTCCACCAAACCCACAATCACATGCACCCAACAACACTTCTCCGGCCTCTAACCCCACCCCGTCCGATGTCCAATCGGTTGTTTTACCTGGAGAGGTGTCTCCTCTCCTTCCTCCTGCCCCTCCTCCTCCACTCTCCCCCTCTTCCTCCTCCTCATCACCTGCCGAAGGTGAGTTTCTCCAACGACCCCACCACCTCCATCGCCTGCTTTCTCCCTTCCTCCATTCTCCACTTTCTTACCAAGAAACCGTTCATGTGTTTTCTCTGTTGTGTTTTCATTACATTGTAGAGATGAAAAGTGAATCTTGTAATGTTTGTGTATTAACATATATGACTTATTTTCTAATCAAATCTTTTGTCTCCTCGATCTATCTTCGATCACGTTCTCCCAGAAAAGCTCAATAGTTTTAAATGTCAACTTTTTAATACTGACATCCAGTATTGGGAGTAACAAAGAGTCAGTGGGCTGCAGCTATTATTTCAGTGTGTCAGATACATTTCTAATCAACATTTCATATCCTCTGCTGCTCATCTCATTTTCAGGTTGTAGCTTCAGGTTGTTAACTGAATACACAACAAACAGCTGTTTCTCAAAACTCATTCTGTCACCTCTTGATTCATTCGGCTGGTTGTTCATCTTCGCATCCTGCTTTTTCATTGATGAATGTTCAAACAGCCAAAAAGAGCAGTTAAATCTTTTCTTTTAAAATATATTAGTCACCAGTTCTTATCTTACTCTGTCACCTCGTCAGGCCCCATCGTCCCTCAGTTCTTCAGTATGAACCGGCCTCAGCCCCGACAGCAGGCTCAACAGGTGGGGGGGTCACTACCGTACCGCCGCCCCCCCTCTGTGACTGGCCAGCCAATCGTAACAGAGAACCAGGTCAACGGCGGTCCCTACTACAACCAAAGCCCAGGTATGTCCTGGGACACACACCAGTCTTGTCCTTTTTGGTCATTTTCATTATTTGCACACCTTGAATACTTTGGGAATCAGACAGAATTCGATTATTTGTGTATTTTAAAGCTCAATATGTAAATTGTCTCTGATTTGTGTGTGTTGGCAGCCTCCCCCCCGCCCCCCTCCCTCCTCCAGTTCAGTCCTCAGCTTCCTCTGATGGGTTTCGTTGCTCGAGTTCAGGAGTCCAGTAAGTTTTCAGGTTCCTTCACTCGTATTGTAATATTGTTTAGGAGGTTTTAAGTGTGATGCGTCTGTAAAATGTATTTTTCCCCTCCAGTCTCAGACGTCCCTCCTCCGCCTCACCCAGCTGCCGAGAGCCAATCAGGGAGCGAGGAGCCCCTCCTTACTCCTCAGCCATTGGAGGACGGACACGAAGAGGAGGACTCAGCGGTGGTGGAGTACTGCGACCCGTACGCTGAGGAAGACCCACCGTGGGCCCCCAGAACCTACCACGAGAAAGGTACGTACACCGTACACTACCAGCTTACATTTAGTTGAGTGTTGCATTGTGGGACAGGGATAGACATAATCATGAGTAACCTTACTCACACATTTTTCAGGCACTCCCCTCTCCTTAATGCCATTCAATAGAAGAACATATTGATTATTATTTATAATATCACGGTGTGTTTGTCACCCTCTAGTGGTGGCCATCTACGACTACGCAGCCGACAAGGAGGACGAGTTGTCGTTCCAGGAAGGAGCGATCATCTACGTCATCAAGAAGAACGAGGACGGGTGGTACGAAGGCGTGATGAACGAGACCACGGGCCTCTTCCCTGGGAACTATGTGGAGTCCATCATGCACTACGCCGACTGAGGACCAAGAGGAGTGTTTCTGTTTCCGTGTTTGTTCAGTCTGTTTGTCTCCGGACATGTGTCGTCTCACTCCAGTTCAGCTTCTCGGATCTGAACTAGAAGGGAAACGTTGACTCGGCTCCTTTTTTTTTTTGTTTTTTCCTTTGGAGTCGCACCAATCAATCACAAGCAAATCAGAGCATGTGAACAAAACTCGTAGTTTCACTAATATTTTAATGTGACTTTAGTTTATTGGACAGAATCAGAAGCTGTAAGTGAATCTGAGCATCAGTTCAGACTTTGTTTTGTTCAGCTTTCTGAGCTACATCTATCTCTTTCTAGCCAATAGGCCTTGTATTTAGGGGTCTCTTAATGCTGGTTCAGTTTATGTATTAATAAGGTCTCTTGTTGGAGAGCTGAGAGGCATTTCAGGCATCTTAATGTTGTTATTCGGTGTGAGTTTCACTGCAGATGTGTTCGTTGTGAAGGATCCAACATTTCTTCTCTTTTACAGAAGGTTCAGAGAAGTTTCTTTTGATCACAAGAAATGTGTATAAATGTCGACACAACACGTTTGTTTTCTTGAAATCACAAAATAATTATCTTAATCCTTCGTGACAAAATGTGCATGACCCCATGGCGTTTTTGAAGGAGACATTTAAACGCGTCTTCTTTACTCTCTCGATGGAAGAAGCTGTGAAAACGTTCCTTCTCATGATATTGAAATCAATATTTTTGTCACCTCAACTTTCAATCATGGAATGATCATTTTATGTTTACAGGAAAACAAATCTTGTTATGTTCAGGCCATGATTTGTTTTTTGTGATCAAAAGAAAACAACAATTGGGTGTGCACTACATTATGTCCTCTTTGGGCTTCCGTAGTTTGCCCTCTGCTACTCTCACCCAGACACCCAACAGAACACATTCACAGTCCTCACCCTGGTCGGAAAAATTCAGATTATTTTTAATATTACCACGTAGGAAACGAGAAGAAATATATTAAATATGCTGAGTCTGATTCCAGAGTTGAAAGGAAGCTATGCCAAAAAACAACTCTACTAAATTCAGAGATTTCCTGACTTTGTATTTCCTTCCCCGTCTTTCTTCCTCTGAAGCAACTTTACAGACTCTCTCTGGTCTTCTCTGTCTGGTTTAGTGACAAACACATCGTGTTTCCTGTGACTGCTTCACAATAAAAGCCCTTTTGTGTTTCACCAGTTGATGACTTTCAATGTGAAGCAGCAACAGGAAACGTCATGTTAGCAGTAACTTAACCCAAATGTAGTAGGGTTGCAGGAGATTAAACAGTGAAGCTATTATCAATCAGATCAAATTTAGAAAAGGTCTAGAACCTGCCAGAATGTTTCGGTTATTTATGGACAGAAGTGAGTTCAGGGTCTGGATTTATCAGACGTCTCAGATCAGGAAACCATTCCTAACCGGCCAGAAACTCTCAGAGTGACGCATCTTTTATTCTACTTCCAGCACAAGAAGTAAAAGCATTTTATCTTTTAAGTTTCCCCCGAGAACTGTCCCTCCTCCTTCCACTTGTTATCATCGTCTTCCTCATTCACGTCAACCTCACCTGCTTTCGTATTAATATTGTGAAAGCTTATAGAGACGCTGGTATTGTAACTGACCGCTACGCCTACACACCACGACATCAGTGGCTTCGGTGTATAAGGAGGATTTATTTAATTTATATTTTACTTCCCTTTGACCTTTGCCTTAACAGATATCTCAACATTTGACTGTCTCGAGAGCCTTACCTCCATCTTATCTATCAATAAAGTAAATAAGAACTCTGGGAAAAGAATTAGAGATGAAACGAAGCACGTAGTGTCACAAAAGAGTTAAACGAATTAAACTTCAATAGAAGAAAGAACAATGACACTCACTGAAGCTGTGTGAGTGAAGTGGAAGTCATCCTGCTGTGACGAACAGTTTTCAGTAAGATTTGTGCCATAACTCTTCATCATCATCAGCTTCCTCACACATCTGTCTTTCAAGTGAAGTCTGTAACTTGAGCCTCTGTGTGTTAGTTTAGAGGTGATGAAGCATTTTACCACCAATAAATTACCTTAAATACATCTGGTGGTCAGCGTAGACGAAGACTGTTATTTTTGGATTGTGAAGATTTAGTAGTAAAATTCATTAAAGTGTTTGGTCTTATGGTTTTAGTTCTCAATATAATGTCTAAGAACATAACTCAAACCTGACAATCTAAACCTCTAGTTTGGAAGAGAAATGAAGCATAAGGATATTATATTAAAGGGACACAGTGCTGTTTTTGAACATCTTAACTCTACACTGATACCCCAAAATACTGACCTTAAGATAAGATAGATTCATTTAACTTTAAAATAGGAGAACTTGCATAAAATGTAGGAATCATTTACGTGTAGCCATACAGAACTTAACCTATTATTACTTGTATTAATTTTGCTCTAGTTTGATAGGATCTCTAAGCATCCACTGAAGTGTTGATCAGTACATATTAAACTACAGAACGTATTTAAAATGGATTCACGCGTATCTGAAGTGTGACTTCTGTTGTGCTGCCTCAGCCTGTGGCCGAGTGGTGAAGTGGACCTGAACAAACTGCCTGGTGGAGATTGTGGACCTGTTGCCAGTGTTGAAGTTTACAGTGTGTTTGCCTGCATGCCTGATATATAACTGACAGTTTTATTCAAATTGTTTTCATATTCATTTTCTTTGTGTGTTTTTTTTCACCAACTTGCTTTATGGTCTCTGTTTGATCAGCTGGAGGTTGTGATGTTTCTGTTCAGTAATGTTTGGTTGTAATCGCCCTTTAAAGAGACGTCCCGTGTGTTTGGACTCCAGACTGACTCTCAGATTGGAGGTGGATATTATTGTGCCATATATCCAGGTGTGTGTGTGTGTGTATGTGTGTGTGTGTGTGTGTGTGCGCGTGCGCCGTATGAACCAAACCCTCCCTCGTGGACTCAAGTGACTATGGACCTGAAACAGTGTTTCCTTGTTGTACAGTGTTATTTAAGAGCCACAAAAAGCAGAGCATGCCGATCTCTGAGAGGAAAACGAATCTTCTTGGCTGCATCTTATTTTCCTGAAGATGGAGTCGGTGTGTGTTCAGTATAAAAAGGTTTAGTACATGTTTCCTCACAGTGTGAATCCAACAGACCAGTGAACTTAAAGTAGAAACACTAAGCAGCCATGAGTGCATCACTTTAAATAATTTAACCTTTTAGTATTCTGAGAATTACAGGAAGAAGTTACATGCCTGAAGAACATCATTTTGCTCCATATCTCCTCCAGTTTTGATGCTAGAAAAACAAATCCTATCTAAAATGATGCACCGTTCTTTGTAGATGGCTGCTGTGACTTTTCTAATTGACAACTGTTATATTTGATGAATGACTGAGGTTTAGAAACAACCCTATAGACAGATATTGTGTTCATATCACAGCAAAAAGGATTCAGTACAAAAGGCAATAAATATTCCTTAATGCTCTTTACAGCACACTGATCTTCAGGTCATTGTGATGACGTGTTTATTTAGAGTTATTCATATGTATAGTGCATTAAAGTATATGGATTTATATTGTATTATAACTCAGCCAATACATTATGGTCTGTCAGTGTTCTTGTGATTATAAAGTCATTAAAAAATAATGCCGTTCATCATCATCAATGCACACAGCAATCGCACGTTTAATTCAAGAAATGCTTCTCTAGTTTGTTTTTAAAGCTGATTGAAACCCGTCTATGGATCCAGAGATGCAGTAAAAGGCAAAGTTCATAATTTAAATTCAAAATTTAAACGACTGATAATCAGACTGAACTGTAATTATTTCCATGTTACTGTTCAGTCTCACCATCACAAAAAGGTATTTTTGTTATTTAGACTTCTTCATTTGACACACCAGAGCCGCAAAGGATTCTGGGAGAAGTTAACATATATCATGTCGATGGAAGAAATGCGTAAATGTAAGAGTTATTTCTGTTTACTCGACTTATAACAACCTGTAGAGCTTTGTAGATGTCAATGATAAGACGACCCTGGTTGTTGATCTGAGTCAGGTAACATTCAGACATTGATTCATGAGGTCTGGATCAAACTTGTGACACTTTAAATCTTTACATGTTGGCATACTCTGATTCTTTTTGTTTTGCCTGCAGTTACCCTTTAAAACAGAGTGGACTGCAAAATGAGATGATCTGTGAAATGTAACAGCTTCTCTCAGGCTGGTTTTACCAGGAATCTGCTTCATTAGTCGCCCTGCAGACATTTAACCTTTAACTTCATTATTAGACTTTTGTCTCTGAAAAACCCGCTCCATTCTGAGTCTGATTCCAATCCCACAAATCTCATGTAAAACCTTTAATCTGCTCCGTTTCTTATCAGCAAAGAGCAGTTTACAAAGTGTTGAAGTCGTAGCTAAACAGCAAGTTTGAGACCTTTCTGGGATATTCTTTGAATGTAACTGAAAAACAAGTTTCACCAGAAAGAGCGACTCACATTTAAAATCAATCCTTTCATCTGGACTGAAGTAAAGTCAAGCTTTCATCTCTCATCATTGAATCCTCAGTCTGCATGTGTTCCTGTAGAACGTGACGTCTAGAGAAACCTTCTGCTTTCCACACTAAAACCTCGACTGAAAGCACATCGCTATTTTGTAAGAAAGTGGGGGGAAAATGGTAAATTCTGAAGTAAATGTTTTAACAGCTCGTCTGTGTTAGTGTTTTATTTAATCTTACACACACATGCACTGTCAAGGCCTCTCAGGAAGTTAAGTTTTGAGTGCACAAAATTGCTGCATGTCCTGACAACGCAACCTGTATGTCAGTGGAATAGTGTGAAACTAAAGCAGGAATGTTTAAGTTTTTGAGTAAATATTTTAAAACGAGTTATTTAATAAATTGCTTGAGTTGCATCATCCTCACACCAGTTGTAAAACTAATTAAAAGTAATAAATATGGTTAATCGACAGCTCTAGACATTAGTGTGTGGACACTGTGTCACATTTACTAATTTATATAAACATAATGCAAGATTCATAATTTATAACAAACTGTAAAATGTGTTTAGAAAATGTAATTCTTTAAAAATAAATTTACTTAATTACTTTAATAGTTAAAGACAAAACCCCTGATTCATGACTCTAAATATACAAACTCAAAACCTTTATTTTCATGATCATTAATGAAACTTAAGTGTATTTCATGAGTTATCAGATAAATGTGCTGTAAAGTTGGGCCTAAAATATTTGCCTCTGAGATGTAGTGAAGTAGAAAGTAAAAAATGGAAATAGTAAAGTACAAGTATCTAAAATTGTACTTAGTGTGGGTACAGTACCTGAGTAAATGAACTTAGTCACTTACTAACACTGATTATTATTATTGCTCCAGCAAGAAACTGGCAAGGGCCATTTAAGGGGTTACAACTTTTACCGTTACTCCAGCGCAAGCCCCGGAAGTACATCGCAAGGGCTTGTGGGTAAAGAGGGTTGTTAGCAATTCAAGTTAGTGTTCATTTCTGGTCAGTTTTGTCTTTAAAAGCGTTAGCTATGGGGTAACTGGTTCATACACATTACAATAAAACAGGATTTAAAGTCACGTATTATCGTAAAGTGTTAGCGCGAGGGTTTTCTTTTGGGGACCACAGTCCCGATTTGTGCGGGAAGTGAAACCCTGGACCATGAAACTACGCCACCCACAATGCAACGCTCCGGAGGGGGTCAAATCTGAATTTAAACGGTTAAAGCAGCAGAGCTGTGTTTAACAGTTCTCTTAACGCTTCAACCAGACCATAATAACTCAGCTCGGTGGATGTTTCGTGGTGTTGTGTAGACTTATGTAGCTACCGACCCCATCAGCGTGGGTTTCCTCGGACAGACTCTTCTGTTTGTGCCATGACTTTTACCGGATTTTGCCAGTTAGCGCTGCTAGGCTAAGCTAACTCGTTGCTAACGTGTGATGACTTTCAGTGCGTTCTGTGACGTTTCGCAGGTGATGACAGATCGACGTTATTAACGGTAACTACAGTTTTATTATAACGCCATTCTCCGAAGAGTCACGTCACCGAGGAGCGAGGAGACCATGGCCCTCGCCCCGAAGGAGCTGTCCAACCTGCTGAGCATCATATCGGAGGAGGCATGCACCAACACCTTCGAGAGCCTCTCCACCCACTTCCACCACTACTTCGGGAAAGCGGAGCACTTCCGGGTGGGTTCGGTGCTGGTCATGCTCCTCCAGCAGCCGGACCTGCTACCCAGCTCTCCGCAGCGGCTCACTGCGCTCTACCTGCTGTGGGAGATGTACCGCACGGAGCCGCTGGCCGCTAACCCGTTCGCCGCAGTGTTTGCACACCTTCTGAATCCATCACCTGCCGGGGAGGAGCCGGAGAAGGTGCTCTCAGGTAGGACTCTAGTGTGTGTAGGTGTGTGTTAAATAAATAAATAAATATATATATATATATATATATATTTATATTATATTAACATTTGTACCCTAATAGTAGAAGAAATCCTCATTTCAGATACTATTTCATGCACTGAACCATGTCCACACTAATACAGTAGTGGAAAGTAACTTAAGTACATATATACTTATGGTCAATTTTGAGGTACTTGTAAATAACTTTACTACAGTACAGTATGTTCTGCTACTTTATTTATAATTGACATTTCTGAGCCAAATATTGTGCTTTTTACTCCACTACATTGATTGATAACTTAAGTTACTTTGTAGATACAGATTAAATGATACAAAATTTAATTTAAAAAAAATACAATATACATTTGAAGCATCATTAGTCTCACACATTTGTCTGTCCTGTGTCACGTGACCTCTGCAGGCTTCCTGCCTCCCATCACCCAGCCAGAGAAGTTCTTCCTGTCTCAGCTGATGTTGGCGCCGCCCAGGGATCTCTTCAAAAAGACGCCCAGGCAGGTGTCCTGCATGGACGTCGGCAACATGCCCCAGTCCATAGACATCAGTGGACTGCAGCTAGCGTTAGCAGGTCAGTGCTCGGCTACACCACTGTTCATCTACTGGAAAAAACAACACTGCTTGTGTTTAAAGGCTTAAAGTGTTTGCTGAAAAGTTAACAATTTGAGCATTTTACAAATTGTTTCTTTATTTAATTTTCCATGTTTTGCGTGTTTGTTGTGCAGAGCGTCAGTCAGAGCTGCCCACTCAGAGCAAAGCCAGCTTCCCCAGCATCCTGAACGACCCCGATCCAGATTCATCCAACTCAGGATTCGACAGCTCCGTGGCCAATCAGATCATCGAGTCTCTGGTCACAGGGCCCCGACCTCCTCTGGAGAGTAAGTGTTTTTGATGCTGATGTTGTTTTTAAAGTTGAAGAATTGGTCATCGTGTAGAAAACAGAAACAAAGTTACAGGACGTCTCAGAACTGCGTTTGAAAAGAAGGAACCAGGGACTAAGTTTAGTTCAATGTGGCAGATAGTGAACGTTAACGCACTGGTTTCTATTCACATGAAAGGAAAACATTTGATTTGTTGCATGTTATAATGTAGTCTTCTGTCTAATCTTCCGTATTTTGTCTTTTGACTGAGTGCTAATAGCTCAGCTGGTTGCAGACAAAGTGAAATCTTAAATTCGTGTCTTTAAACTCAACCTCACTTTGGCAAGTAACCAGGTGAATTTTAGGTAATTTGGAGTTCATATTAAACTCCACAACATAAAAACACATTTGTCAGGTGAAGTGGTTCCATGTTCTAGTGCCCAGGTTGCATAACAAAGTGAGAAACCACCAAACAGAAGCTGCTCTAGATCCCACAGTCCTCATCCTTTCTCTCTCGACTCCGTCCTCAGGTCACTTTCGCCCCGAGTTCATCCGGCCACCGCCTCCTCTGCACGTGTGCGAGGACGAGCTGGCGTGGCTGAACCCCACCGAGCCGGACCACAGCGTCCGATGGGATCGCTCCATGTGCGTGAAGAACAGCACCGGCGTGGAGATCAAACGCGTCATGTCCAAGGCCTTCAAGAGCCCGCTGTCCGCCCAGCAGCAGTCACAGGTGAGCTCGTGTCCCGCTGTGTCGGTCACATGGTTGTTTAAAGCCCATTGGTTCCTAGTAGATGCATTCAGTGTTGGTTTACTTCATCAGTCTCTCTCTCGCTCTCCAGCTGCTGGCCGAGTTGGAGAAGGACCCAAAGTTGGTTTATCACATCGGTCTGTCCCCGGCAAAGCTCCCTGACCTGGTGGAGAACAACCCACTGGTGGCCATCGAGATGCTGCTGAAGCTGATGCAGAGCAGCCAGATCACGGAGTATTTCTCCGTGCTGGTGAACATGGACATGTCGCTGCACTCCATGGAGGTCGTCAACAGGTGAGGCCGCTGCTGTAAAATGTCCCGTGTTGTTCCTAAATTTTAACATCATATGTTTGTAGCATCGCTGTCGTGAGAGAAGCCACGTTAACAAACCTTATTTCAGCTTTGTGACATTACATTTTCCAGCTTAACCAAGAGGGTTTTTATTTATAAATCGCTGCTCGTGCTTCCTCAGGTTGACCACAGCTGTGGATTTACCTCCAGAGTTCATCCACCTCTACATCTCCAACTGCATCTCCACCTGTGAGCAAATCAAAGACAAGTACATGCAGGTAGAGTACAACACCTTGCTCATAACTATAGTTAAAATGCTGTGTTTTAGCAGATCTTCGGTCGAACAAAAACAGAAAGAAATTCATTGAATATGTCTCTTGAGATGCCAAAAATGTCAGTAATTCTCCTCCTGTACATTCATTGTTTATTCATTTTATAATACGCTGTCCTCCAGAACCGCCTGGTCCGTCTGGTCTGCGTCTTTCTCCAGTCGCTGATCCGAAACAAGATCATCAACGTCCAGGACCTCTTCATCGAGGTTCAGGCCTTCTGCATCGAGTTCAGCCGCATCCGAGAAGCCGCCGGCCTGTTCCGCCTCCTCAAGACCCTGGACACCGGAGACAACCCCGGCGAGGCCAAACCGGCCAAATAACGACGCTCACAGAGACACTGCACGGACGGTGGAAGTGGCCCGAATTACTAAAATAATGCCACGTTTATCAAAACTATCAGAGGGACGCGGTTTGTTTCAACATTCTTCATGTCTTTGTACGTCACAGGAGCCGGAACTAAAGCGAGTTAATATTGTAAATATGTAGTGACGTTTTCTTCAGACCTTAAAATCCAGTTCTGCCTCTGAACTCTGTCACCATTTCCCCCTTTTCTCTTTTCCAGAAGTTTAAAAAAAAAAGGATCAACTCCGTTCACCTTTTCATTTTTTTAACCAGGGCTCTCTTTCCTTTGGAAATCTTGCGATTTTTCTCAAATTAAACAGAGTAATTCAATCTATTGGTATTTCTGTTCTTTCATTGATGTTTTAATTGATCAGGTAAATATTTATGACATGAATCAACTTAACGCAGCTAAACATTTATAAAGACACAACGGGGCTGAGGCAATGAGGACTTTACTGTCTGTAGACGTCGAGCTGATACTCGGTGTGAGAAACGTGTACTCTCGAGTCAGATGTTCAGATTTATACCACTCATGTTTGTACGCTAATTATAAACATTCAGTCATGTCAGCAAAGACGAGATTTTCAGGGAGTGACTCTTTACATGTTAAGTGATATCAGTTGTTACAGGACAATCTCTCTCTCGTACAATAACAACACAGTTCTTAATACAAAAATCTGTTTATTTGTTCAATACATTTGGCGTTAACCTGCTTCACTGCTGCACATAAGTGAGATGTTTTTAGAAAAGAAAAAGGCAATATTACAACAGAGTTTAACAATCGGATTACTTTAAATTGTTTGTAGAATCAAACTCCAGGAAGTTCTGTTTGAGTTTAAAGTCTGGACTTTTCTAAAGTGTGTGTGTAAAAGGAATAGACTGCAGTGGTTGTACCAAAATAAACGTTCTAATGTCCCTTTGCCTTCAGACATCACTGTTCCTACATGTGTACCGTAACCTAATATCTGTAACCGGTCAGAAACCCTGTATAGCCAATATATTTAGGTGGATGTGGTCGTTAGGCTCTCTTCATGCCGCGGGCCATGAGGCAGGCGAACACCGTCATCACCATCTTAGGTTTCACCTCCACCAGGTCCTCAGGCAGCGCGTACACCCGGGCGCCGATTTTCCTGGCCATGGAGATGGCGTACCTGTCAACACAATGACAGAGATGAGAAGAACTGTTTCCTGTCTCCAAACACTGACTCACAATCTCTCTCTTTCTACAAGACTTAAACATTTCATAAAAGATGGAAATTATGTGAAATAATTAGTAACAAATGTGTCAATACTTTGCATTGTTGAGTTTCTCCTCTTCAGTTAGATCTTCTGTCTTCAGCAGGTCGTATCTGATCGATCCGGGCTGGATGGCATCGATCAAGTCCAGAACTGGCATACTGCTGCTGATAGACCCGTCCTACACACACACACACACACACACACACACACACACATAATGAACCTCTGTCTAACCAGTAGAACTATAAATAAAACTGTCATAGGAAAGGATGCCATAAATAAGTCAGAGTATAGTATGTCATAAGACATTGTATAAATACAGTATGAATTAAAAAATATTATTTGCACAATATCTGATCTAATAACCAGGCGGCCTGACAGGTTTTGATATCATTCATAAGATAATATTTTGTTATTCAATCTTGTAAAATCTTCAGATTTTTCCTTCATGTCTGTCCTCGTCTATCTTCGTGTGTATCTTTGTGCTTCAGTTACCTTAAAGCTGGAGATTTTGGATTTTCCAGCCTGTGTGAGCATGTCGTTGACCCAGGTCACGATGGTGTCATCCGTCACTTTCTGACCGTCGCCCAGGTCCTCCAGGATGTTCAGCGTGTATCTGAGGGAACAGACAGCGATCAGTCCTGCACAGGCAGCATGAGAGGGAGAGCACAACAACACCTGCTTTCAAAATAAAAGCTTCACCTGCCCAGGGTTGATACAAAAACATAAGGTCTTCTTTTATAGCTGAGGGAACTGAATTAAATGCTTTTAAAGACGTGTCGTTCTCTGAAACATACTTTTCAGAGCCACTTTGGTACTTAAAACATTATTTTTGTTGGCGTATTCCTTGAAAACAGATGTTTTTGTTACCTCTTTAAAAATGAAGGTTTAAAACACAAAGGTGTGGTTACCTCCTCATGAGCTGCCAGAGCAGAGCGAGGGTGAGCTTTCGATTCCCTGCGTTCAGGTCCTGACCTGCGATTCCCACCAGGGAGAATTTGGCCTCCTTCTTCCCCAAGTCCACTGCGTAGTTACAGTTCTCCAGCTGGAACACACAGAAGAATTATATTCTGTTTTAGTCACAGTCCAGTTGTATTTGCTGGAAGTATTTCATTTTTAGAGCAACACAAACAGTTTCTTTCTGCTTTTTCAGTGCGTCACAAAGCATGTTGTGTGTGTTCAAATCACACAGTAATCAGGCTTAATCTGTTGACTTCTGAGTGTGCTGTCACACATTATTCTCCCACAATGCAATGCACAAAGGACATGGTGGAGCTGCTCATAGCTGGACAAAATTAAAATCACTTGCAGGAGGTGAGACGGCTCCAGAAATATCTCAGAAAACTAAAATACGACACACATATTGTAGAACTTCCTGTTGGAATAGAAAAAGGAAAGTGTTTGTTGATCTTTTTATAATAACACACACATTTGTCAAATACTTTGGTTTACGACCAAATACCTGAAAAACGAATGACTTTCCTGTCAGCGTCATTTGTTCTTTGTGTTTATTGCTAATCACTAATGTTAGCATGTTAACAGACGACAAGAAGATGAACCATTAAACCTGCTGGCATCAGCATGTTAGTATTTGCTGAGCTTTTTCTCAGTATTTAATCTCGAGCGTGAAACATAATTTCCAACCGTAACAGAGTTGAACTTTGCTTGTCGTACCTTCTTCATGTTGCTGCCCAGTTTAGAGTACGGAGGCTTGTTGACTTTGTCCCAGTCCACCGGTACCTTGATCTTCTCGTACAGCTGGAAGATCACCAGGGCGTCATCGATGTCTCTGTAACAAACACACACATTACATGACTTTTACTGCGGGGCCACCATCAGATAATGTCAAACCATTGTAGTGGTCAGAGAAGAAGAGTGAGTGTTCTTACACGTAGAGGTGGTTGACACGAGGATTGACCCCCAGTGAGTTCATCCAGTTCCTGAAGGTTCGCTCCTCCCTGGTTTCACCTGAAAGAACAACATCAGTGCTCCCATTAAAAGACAGGAATTACTGAAGTACAGTGTAACGTGAAGCTGATATCTGTTTCTCTGTGTCACAAAAATATGTGAATTTAGTCCAGAGGTTGTGTCTGATCTTAACAAGTTTAGCTGCCAACAAAATACACAAAATAATATTTATTACATGATTTTCAACCATGAGCCTAAATTTATCAAATAATAAAATACTTGTGTTTTTCTGTTTTTTTGCGTTAGGTCGGGTTTTAAGAACAAATAAAGCTTAAACTGAGTCTAAATAAAAGCTGTGGGAACAGAACAGGAGTAAAATATTTTCACATTTCTTGATTTGTCTTTAAAAATGGAGGTTGCGTATAAAATGGGACGAGACCCAGATGGATGTAAAAGTTGGTACAAGGAGTTAATGATTTCATAAAATGGGTCATAATAATTGATCATTCTGCATAATTTTATTATAATTTGTTTAAATCAGGACAAATATTACTGCAAAAATATCAGTTCACTTCAGCAAACTGTGAACTGCGTCTTTGTGTTTGACAAAAATGTAGAAGTCCTGAAAGTACAGCGGTCCGACACGTTTTAAATTTCTAATTTCCAGACTTCTCGGTGGATTTTTCAGACTTGACTGTGTGACAGAGAATGCTGTGACAAGACTACAGCGCTTACACACTTGCAGATGGCCTGAATGTTAATAAATAAATTGCTGTAAATAAACACGTACTCCCTTCCATAAATAAAGATGTTGAGATGAGGAGAGAGAAGAACAGATCGTCTCATATTCCTTCTCTGTGGATGAACTCACCTTCGATGGAGCTCCAGTCGATGTCCTGGTTCTCTGGTTTCTTCAGAGCCGGGTACTTGTTGAACAGATTGGCGACAAAAGCCAAGTTCAATTTGGGGTTGCCGCGGACGACATCTGTTGGCATGACGAACTGTCTGCATCCGAGCCGGTCGGCCTGATCCAGCATGCACTCGGCCCGCTTCAGGTCGTCTTTCTCCTGCAGAGATGGACGACGACAACTGTGTTCATCTCACATTCAGATCAAACATTTAAACATCTTTTAAATCACTTCTCTCAGATTTTTATGAAAGCTAGCACCGTTTTATTTCCAAGTTTATTATTACTACATTATATCATTATTATTATTAGACTTTTGCTTTAAAAACAAGCAATTTGAAGGCGTCACCTCGAGCTTTAAGTCATTTTTTTGGAAAGAAACTGATTTCTTTCCACAATTTTCTGACATTTATACCAGAGAATTGAAAGTAATGATCGAGAATAGTCTGCAGATTAATCAAGTAAGTAAATAGTTGTGAGTTTCAGCACTAATTTATATTCATAGACTTAGAGTTAGTCTCTCTATATAAGAGCCAAGTGAAAAGTCAAGTCAGTTTTAGATAACCCAAAATCCCTCCTTATCCCCAGAGCCTCGACTAAAATGTAAATTAAATTGTCAACTCCATTTCCAGATGAGAGTAACAATACCTGATACACGAAGGTTAACAACTGAACTGATGAGATCATTAATTAGACTAAAGGAATAGTTCAACAACCTCTTTTCCCCAAAATGACGAACTATTCCTTTAAAGTTAAAGCTGCCAAATTATAGCCATTGAACAGATATTGTGTGATTCCTCCACATGATGTCAGAGTCTCTCACCCTGAGTCCTGACACGTCGATGGCGATGGGGGGGATTCCCTCCTCGTCTCCTTTGGGTGCCACCTGGTTCAGGAGGTTGTAGTACGCCTTGGAGTCCTGAAACAGTTTGGGAGTTAAGAGGGGGATTTGCCTTTAACAGAACATATTTACATATTTAATCTGTCTTTGTCTTTTGTTTTTTAAAGCAGATAGAAAATCAACAGTATTGATTTTATTGTCGAGAATCTTCTTTTCTTTGACTGGAACAGATGTGTCTATTGTTTTGTCAACAACCAAAGTTTTTGCTTACATCCTCATTTGTTTGGTAGTCAACCTGTTTACATGAAGTTTAGTAGATTTAGTAGATGTGTGTGTGTGTGTGTGTGTGTGTGTGCGTGTGTGTGATGATAACCTTGATGTCAGAGCTGAAGTTATTGATCTTGGCGCAGCCAGCCTCCTCCAGGTGATAGTTGG